TTTTTTTAAAAAAAAAAAAAAAAAAAAAAAAAAAAAGTGAACAATTTAATTTGAAAAAAAAAAACTTATTATGTATTGTTTTAATATTCTTAAAAAAAACTTCCCACACCTTTCTGTTTAATTTTTTTATGCGGAATATAATAAAAATAGTCACCAGATCGTATTGGTAATAATCCACTTTTTGAGCAAACATTCATTATATATATAAAAACTGAACAATTAACAATTATAAAACAAATTTTTTGTAGCCAAAACTTCTGTTTAGTATTATTTTCCACACTTTTAAATACATCATTTATATTAAATAATGATTTTAAAATATTATAAATGGAATATATTATAAAAATAATACCAAAGATACCAGATGCTCCACCTGACATAAACATAACAAATAAGTTCATTGCTAACCCTTTAATTGAGTTGATGCAAATATTCCATGCCATTTTATTAAGTATTTTTGTGTTTTCTTCAGATAAATTAGATTTATTATCATTTTTATTTAACTTATTTAAATTGTTGATACTTTTTTCTACTTTTAAATAACTGTCTCCATAACCATATGTATTCTTAGCATCATTAACAAATTTATATCCAAATGGTTCTATTAAATTTTCACATTTTTGATCATATTTTCTTAAATTAAAATCCCATCTATTCATTTTTATTTTTATAATACCTATTCAAAAAAAAATTGGGAAAATTAGAAAAAACACAAAACATAAAATTTCTCTAAATATTCTAAAAATTTTTGAAAGTTATTTTTTCTTAAATTAGATTTAATTTGTTTCTATTAATAAGCATTTGTTTATTGAAAAAAAAAAAATGTAGAAAAAGAAAAATTAATTTTTAATCAAGAATTAAATAAGGGTAAATCCTATAACTAATATATGTAGAGTAATAATACAAGTTTAACAAAAAGTTGAATAATAAATTTAACTGATAATAATATTATATAATATATAAATAAATCCTTATTTTTAAAAAAAAAAATATATATATATATATATTTATATATATTCTTCAATAAAAATTTCTTACTCTAAATTTCAGTGAATATAATAGCACAACATTAAAATTATAAAAAAAAAATATATATTAATATAAAAATTAAAGCACAATTTTTTTTTTTTTTTTTTTTTTTATGTTTCATAATATTCTAGGGAAATTGCAATACTTATTAATTATTATTCTAAAAATGCTGAAATGAATATTTATAATAAAGTTGAATAAAAAAAAAAATACTTTGCAATTTCTTTTTACATCCATGCACAGTATTTTTTCTGATTAATGATATTGTATTTTTTAAAATAAAAAAAAAAAAAAAAATATAAATATATATCATTAATTATGGCTTAATGGTATAATGATTTAAAATTATATTTATTATTTACATTTAATCAATTATACATGAAAAATTTATGTATGTTTTTATAGCCACTTATTTTCTGAAAAAACAAGTTTCACGAAGAAAAAATGTCGAAAAATAGCTTTGAATAAAATAAAAAATAAAACGAAAATAATATTTTTTATTTTGTTAAGTTTAATTGTAAGAAAAGTATTAAATTATATGAAAAACAAAAATTATCATATATGAGTTTTGATTTGTATTTTTTTTTTTTTTTAATTATTCATTACATTACTTAAAGGCATACGTAAATTTTATGTTTTTTTTCTAGAATAAAAATGTAAATGGAAATATTAATGTAAAAATAAAAAATATAAAAACATATTAAGTAGAATCAAGTGTAGTTGAATGCTATAACTATATAGTTAAGATTGATTACATAAATTAATGTGTGTATATGCATATGAAATATTTAGTTGCAAAAAAAAAAAAAAAAAAAAAAAAAAAAGAGAATTACATTTACATATATATGAGTGATTATAAATATTGTATTTTCTTTTTTCTTTTAAATATTAAAAATAAAATTTTCCTTTAATAAAAAAGAAATTATTCAAAAAAAAAAAAAAAAAAAATGAAATAAATAAATAAAAAAAAAATATTAAATAAATTAAATGAAAATAAAAAGTTAATTTGTCGTTTTTTTTTGTATTTTATAAATCTAAAAAATAGTAGAAACGTATATATATGTACTTAAATTTAAGAAAATTAAAGTTAATATTTTGCTTTTCTTAGAATACTAGTTTTAAATATACTAAAGTTTTAAATTATTACAAGTTTTATAATTTATGTATTTTATAATTTTATAGATTTATATAAACTTGATTTAAAACGAGTTTGTGTTAAAAAAGGTAAATAAATAAAATGTACATATTTTTTTTTTGTTTACGGAAATATACAATAATCATTTAATCCTATTATATATTTAAGTATCATATATATTTTTATTTTTGTATATATTTATTTTGATTTCAAATTTAATGGTAAAATATTAAATCATACTATGCATTAGTATAGAAAAAAACAAAGCATTTTAAAAAAAAATATATATTTCTTTATATATTATATATATAACGATGAGTGAATTAAATGATTTTGATCAATTTAATTTTAACAGTTATGAACATTTTAGTAATAATAATACAATTGATAATATTCTCAACAATGATAGTTATGAAAAAAGTGAATTAGATAAATTAAAAAATTTAAATGATAACTTTAATCAAAATATAAATTACAATAGTATGAACAGTTCATTAAATGATTTTAATAGAGATATTAATACAGTCAAAAGAGAAAATGAGAGTTCTAGTAGTAATAATAAATACAACACTAGCAAAAATGAAAACTCTAATAAAAGCATAACATTTCCACGAAAAGAAAGTAAAATGTCTTTTGAAAATTCTTATGAACAATTTTTTGAAAAAGAATCAGATATATCAGACACAGAAGAATCCAACATTTGGGAAATCGAAAGATTAAAAAGAATAGAGGAGAGAAAAGAATATGAAAAAAGAAAAAAAATAGAAATAAAGGAAAAAGCGGCAGAAGATCTAAAGAAATGGTATGAAGAAATGGCCGTTAAAATTGAAGAAAAAAAAAAATTATTTAACAAACAAAAATCGGAAGAAAAAAAAAAAGAAGAAAATTTAGAAAATAAAACATGGTTAAAGGTCTCTCAGTATTTAGATTTTGAAAAAGGTGAATATTTTAAAGAAAACAGCAGAATAAAACAAATTCTATTAAAATTAATAAAAAAGGAAAATTCTTAATATTTTTTTTTATCTTTTAAATAATTTCTTAAACAAATAAATTATAAATGCTTAAATAATAATATATTACCATTTTTTTATATTAAATTACTTATGTGTGTTTCTTTTTTTTTTTTTTTTAATTTTAAAGAATACTCAAAAATCTTGTTTTATTAACAAATGTTTAAAAAAATTTTAAGAAATAAAAAAAAAAAAAAAAATAAAAATATTTTTTACATTTTTTAATATGCCATAAAAAATATATATCTTTGTTTTTTTTTTTAACTATTTAAGATAAATTTAGAATACTGATATAAATATAACATTTTCTTCTTTATAGATATGTTTAGAATAAATAAATAAAAAAAAAAAAAAAACGAAATTTTTTATATTAAGAAAAAATATTACTTTTTTGAAATAATAGTCTTATTTGTGCTATTACTTTTGTTTCTTAATTTATCAGGTGTCAAGTTTTTTTTTATCAAGGAGACTTTAGAATATTTAGAGTTTTTTAAATCATCCTTTTTAATATTAGCAAATTCATCAATATTTTTGCACTTATAATGAGTTGTGTATATTCGAGGTGTTCCTTCATTATTATATAAATTCGTTTCGTTTGTTTTTTGATAAATCATAGAAGAATTTTTTTTTGTTGCATTTGTTATTGTCTTTCCTACTGTAGTATTGCTTACGTTTTTTTGATAAATTTTTTTTATGTTAGTTGTTATATTATTTTTGTTATTCTGTAACTTAGAATTATTACTTATATTTTTAATTGAACTGCTATCTGAAGCAGCTTTAATTGTATTATCGACATTTTTATATCTATCTGTGTTTTTGAAATTATATAATGATTTATATGAAGTGATAGATGAATTTGTTTTTCTCAAAATTTTACTTGTTTTATTGGAAGATTTGTTTTCCTCATTTATGATATTATTACATATATTATCAAAATCATTAGTATTATTTTTAAGAACACTATTATAATTGTTATTAGAGTTTTCATTAAATTTATTATTCAAAGATTCCGAATTTTTAATAACATTTTTTTCTATAAAAGATATTATTTCATTGAAATTGTTTTTATCTAATTGATCGGTTTCTGCTTTATTATTTTTATTTATAATTGTATCTTTTTCAACATGATCCTTACTATTACTTTTTATTTCTTCGTTGTTGAGTTCATTATTACAATTATTTATATCATTTTTTTCTATAGTTCCAATATCTGTAATCAAATTTTCGGAATTTTTAACATAATTAGAATAATTCTCATTTTCATACATATTTACTATGTCAATATTGTTTAGTTCATTTATATCTCTGCTTAAATTATTATCTATTTCATCATTTTTATCTGTATTTAAATTTTCATTAGTATTATTTCTAACATTATTTTCTTTATAAATATTTTGATAATCACTTTTATTAACGACATTCTCGTTACTTTTTTCATTATTGTTATTATATTCATTTTCATCATCCTTTTTAAAGCATTTCTCTGTATCAACATACTCCCTTTTAGTATTTTTTAATTCATTCATTTCACTATTTTGATTATTTATCTCGTTTTTTATTTCATCAATATCATTTTCGTTATTATTTTCAGAAATTAAACGCATTTGATTTTTTCTATTAACGGAAATACATCTATTTAATTCAAGATTATTTTTATGTAATAATGCATCATTATTTTCTAATTTTTTTTTAACATCTATATTTTTTTTAGTATTTATTGAAATTATAGAATTTTTCCTATTCATGTTATTACTGATACTTCTTTTGTTAAGTAAGGAAGATTCACTAATTTCATTCTCAAAACTTACGTTATTAATATCTCTTATCTTTTGATCATTTTCAAAATTTCTTGAAATACTGTTAATTCGTTTACTTTTCATGGTTAAGTGACTAATTTTTCTATTATACCTTTTGGAATCTGAATAAACTTTAAAATTAAATGAATTATTTTTACAGCTCATTTTAAAATGACTTAATGACTTTCTAATTAATTTAATATTGTCTCTCACAGCATGTATATTTTCATAATGCATTTTTCCAAATGATTTATTTAATAAATTACTTCTAGAATTATTTCTAAATTCATTAAATAATTGAGGATACTGAGATAAAACATGTTCTAATAATTTCTCTGCTGTTGTTAGACTATCATCAAAACTTATAATTTTATTGCACTGGTTTTTACACAAGTCTTTATAATAATTATTTTCATTTATTAAAATCTCTTTTTCATCGTTCATTTTTTCTATTTTTTCTTTATGTTCTTCTTCTAAAGTTTTAATAGAATTATTGTATTTTTTAGTATACTCTTTTTCTTTTTGAATCATTTCTTTTAAAATTAATTGAACTTCGTCAAAAGATTTCTCAAATTCTTTTTTAAGAGAATCGAAATTCATTTGAGTGTTCTTATATTTTTCTTCTATATTTTTTAATTCTTTTAATTTTTCTTTTATTCTAATATTTTCTTCATTCTTTTCATTTAAGATTTTTGTGAATTTATCTATTTCATCTTTTATTTCATTAATAATTGTATTTTTTTCATTTGTAACTTTATTAAGCTTTTGTTCAAGTTCTTCTACCTTTTTACTATACATTTTTTCTTCTCCTTCTAATATTCCAGTTAAATTAAAATATTTTGCTTTTGTATCTCCTAGTTCTTTCTTTAAAGATTCTTTTTCTTTTTTAATATTTTCATTTTCATTTTTAATATTTTCATTTTCTTTCTTTAGACTTTCTATTTCTTCTTTTAAAATATTGTAGTCATTATGTAAAAGTTCATATTTATTCATCATATTGTCCTTTTCATTTTTATAATGATAATTTTTATTGAGAATTGATTCTTTTTCTTCTTGTAATTTTTTTAATTCTTCAGATAACATAAGATTTATATTTAAATTATTTTCTTGCTCAAATTTTTTTTCTTCAATTATACTTAGCAAATCATTTTTTTCTAATTGTAGATGTCTCATCATATTTTCATATCTTTTGTTATAATGAAATTTATCTTTTATAGCATAATATTTTAGTAAAAAATTTTTCTTACATACACTAACTAGTACGTTTTTATATCTTGTTTTAAGTTTTCCATAATTTCTTAATAGTAACTTATTTTCAAATTTCACTTTTTCATTTTTTTTTATAAGATACAAATTTCTAATATTTAAATAACAATTTTTATATATATCTTTGTTTTTATAATTTATATGATTTTTTACATTTTTTATTAAAAATCTTAAAATTTTATTATATTTTTCATCCTTGTTATTTAGATTATTCAAATTAATTTCACTTTCTTTACAGGATATATTACTAACTTTATCTTCAATTTTTTCCATCCATTTTTTTATTTCTTTAATGGCTAAAATTAAGTTATCATCATTTTTTGCATAAGATGAGCATACAGAATTATTAGTATTAAAATATTTTAAGTTATGAATCTGAGAATAACAAACAGATTTTTCTTCATTAATATCATTATCTAAATTTTTAATACTTGGATCATCAGTTTTTTCCTTTTTATTTATTTCATATTTATTATTAATAGAATCTTTTATTTCATATCTTTTTTTCATTATTTGTTTGACAGAAGAAAACATATTATTAACTACTCTAAAATTACTTGTTAATGTGCTTCCTTCTTTTATATTTTTCCCCTTTTCTGATAATGCAGATTCTTTATCATAAGTATGAATCATTGATGCACTATCATCTGGTAATACATCGTCTTTAATATCAAATTCATTTGCTGATTTTACGTTTTGAATTAACATATATGGTTTCCCTCTTCCATAGTTTGATGAATTATCGTTTCCTTTTTCATGTGATTGATTATATAGTCGATTATTTAACAAATGTTCTCTAAATTTTTCTTCATTGTTTTTGTAAAAATTTATTTTATTTTTAATAGGTATTTCTGTTTTTACTCTACTAATAAACGATTCATTATCATTTGAAATGTCGTATGTCTCTAGTTTTGAATTTTTTTTTATTAAAACGTTGTTTGGATTTTTTATATGTGTATAGTTTTCCCATTTATTTTTCAATTTATCTAAAGATATAAATTGATTATGATCTGTAGAATTTTTGAAACTATTAACTTGGCTTTTTGAAGAATTCAACATAATTCTCTTAGTATTTTGTAGGTTTTCATGGCTAAATTTATGTTTTTGTATACATGATGATAAATTAGATCGAGGAACTCCGTATATTTTTGTCTGATAATTTAAGTAATTATAAACATCATTATATGAATAATTATTATTTTTTAAAATAAAATGCAAACTAAATTTATTTACATTTTGACCACTTATTTTTGAACTATTATTAAATAAACTAATAGCTTCTTTTATATTAATATTACATAATATACTATTTGTTCTTAAAGCTAATCTATATTTAACAGAATCATTATTTAAATCTAACTTTGATAATGGTAGATAAAAGACACTAAGTGGTTTAGGCAACCGTTCTAATTCACTCTTATTATTATTCATAAGTAGAGAAGCTGTAGAACATGCAAATAAGGAATCATAAAATATAATAGTTAACACCCTACTTTCAAAATCATCTGAACTTGTATCAATAATATATTTTTCTATTTCTAATGGTGACTCACTATATGTAAAAAAATTTATTGACTTATCATATATAAATATAAATGGTGTAGAGTTGAATTTTTCACCTTTCCAGCAAGCAGGGGCATGTATTAAAACTTTATAATGCCTTTTGGAATTATTTTTATCATTATTAGTAATTTTTAAATTATCTTTATTATTATTTACAGTATCTTTATTTAATTCTTGTTTTAATATTACATTATCGTTTGTTTCTTCATTATTTCCAGAAATTTTCTTAATTTCATCATTAATTATTTTATTATCTTTTATTGTATTTAATTTACTCTCATTTATTTCACTATTATGTATTTTTTCATAATTAAAGTTTTTATCATTTTGTTCATTTAAATTTAATGATCCATCATTATTATTATAATTTAGCTTGTAATTATCTGATATTTCTTTTTTGTCAATTTTTCCATTTAATACATCATTTAAACATTTCTTTTTAGTATTTTCATTTGTATTTTCTTCTATTTCTTTTATTTTTATGTTATCTGTCTCATTTTTTTTAGAATTCATTGATATATTAAAAATAGAACTACCTGACAATAATTCATTACTATATTCATTTGATTTTATCAATTCACAACTACTTTTGTCTACTATATCATTAGGTTTATTATTAAACTCTCCATTATTTAATAAACTATTTGAAGTATTGTTTTTTTCTTCATCAATTTTTCCTATTATTTCATATTCATCTATTATATTCTTCATTGTTATTAATTTTTCTAGTATCCTTTTTTATTTTTATAAACTATTTTGTATATATATATATATATATATATATATAATTTGTAATAAAATAAAGAAATAAGTAAACAATAGAAAAAATTTATAAATATAAGAACATAAAAAATTGTTAAAAAAAAAAATTGACACCTAATGAATACCGTACATATATATAAATGTATAAAAATACTCACATATGTACATATTTTATAAAAAGTTAACAGGTTAACAACAAATTAATCCTACATTATAAATACAATTAAAATAAAATAAAGAAAAAAAAAAGAAAGATTAAAAGTCTTTTGAAGTAATGTTTATCTTATTAAAAAAAATTAGAAATCTTTTTGGTTACTGTGTTTTATTAAAAAAAATTTGGAAATTACATGTGATATTTATTTTACAAAAAAAAAAAAAAAAAATAAAAATAAAATAAAATGAGAAAAAACCTTTAGTAACAACTAATCGAAGAGATAAAAAAAAAAAAAAAAAACAAAAAAGAGATTAAAAATTATTTAAAAATATAAAAATAATAAATAAAAAATTGCTAGATTATTATTATTTTTTTTTATTTATCAGAGTTAAATTTTGAATTTATGCATTTATTTAAAAAAATTTTACAAAAACAATTTAATAAAAAACAGAAAAAAAATTAAATGCAATTAGTTCGTATACAAAAATTTTTTATAATAAATATCTTATATTGTTATGTAACTCGTTAAACTTTCTTTTTTGTCATTTTTTTTTTTTTTTTTTTTCTTTTTTCAAATTTATAATCAACAATTTTCCATATTTAATATAGAACAAAGTGTAAAATATGTATTAAAAAGAAAAATGCTGCAGAAATGATAATACATCAACAATACAATTATGCAGAAAAGTGTTCAATAAAAAAATTTAATTTTTAGTAGACTTTATATATGTTTATATAATAATTAAAATTAAATAATATACTGTACAAATTTTCAAAATAACCTTACATCAAAATTCAAATAATGTAATACACATTTTTTTGTTTATATAAATGAATATAGTAGTTTTTTTTCATAAAATTATAAAATATTTATATAATATCTTCTCTTAAATTTTCATACATGATATTTTATATTTTTCTATATGTTAAATGCACTCATTTTAAGCAGCCAATAAATTCGTATATGCATTATTACAATAACATGATAAATTTTGCAAAAATTGTAGAACTCAGTATATAATTTTCAAAATGAAAGAATAGAATTTTATTATTGCAAACTCTTTTTTTTATAAAATTTATTTTATAAAGTATTTTTTCTGTTAAAGCACTTCAACTAAAAAAAAAAAAAAAAACATAAAATATATTTATAGAATAGTTAAAAAACAGCAACATTATTTTTGTATATAAATTCTATCATATTAATTAGAAGGAAATTATTCAATTCTTTATATTAACATTAGAATATCCATTTTTTTTTTGTTAATACTAAAAAAATGATAAATAGTTTTTGTATCAATCTTTTTATTTTCTATGTGTGCGTGCAAAAAAATTACATCATTTCTTCATAATTTTCTCTACAAAATAATTTTTGTTTTATATATTTGAATTTTTCTATTTTGCTATTTGAATATTTGCAGATTTTTACACATTTTATTTTGTTTTAGTTTATTTCATTTTTTTTTTTTTTTTTCTTTTTTTTTTTAACATACTTTTTTGGTGCATATAAAAAAAATATAGTTTAATTATTTATTTTAAAAAAAAAGAGAAATAACATCATTTCAATAAATTAAAAATAAAATATTTAAGAGTATTTTTTATGTATTCAAAAGAAAATTTTAAAAATATATTATAACATCCAAAAGGAAAAAAAAAAAAAAAAGAATTTAAACATATATTAAATTGTTTTATAATTAAAATAACAATTTTTAATCTCTAAAAATTTAAAGAAAAATATAGTTTTTCAAAATTTTTTAAAGAATATAATCAACACTTGTAAATATTATTATATACTAGAAAAAATAAATTAAAATATAAAAATCATAAAGTAAAAATGATTTAAGAGAATATGAATTATTACTAATGTGTAATAAAAAATTTTATTAGTACCAAAATAATGAAAAAAAGCAAATATTTATCTCTTCATGTTTGAATGAAACATCCTATCTTGTCTATATAAATAATATTTAAAAAAATATTTTAATAAAAAATATTTAAAAATTTCTTTCGATAATATTGGAGACATAAATATTAATAAAAAAAAAAAAATAAAAATAATGAATTAAAAATAGAGATTAAATAATTCAAATAGAAATTCATGTATTTCATTTAAAAATATAAAAAAATATTATAAAGAATAATTTTTTATAAAAATACATGAACGTCTACTTTTAAATTGTATACATATATAAATGAATTAAAAATAAAGTTTACTTTAACGTTTAACATTTCTAATTTCAACTTATTAAAAAATGTAGTTATAACAAAAAAAAAAAAAAAAAAAAAAAAAAAAAT